TTTCACTCCCTCATACACCCCCTCCATGCTTCTTTCACTTCCTCATGTACCCCCTCCATGCTTTTTTCACTCCCTCATACACCCCCTCCATGCTTCTTTCACTTCCTCATGTACCCCCTCCATGCTTCTTTCACTCCCTCATACACCCCCTCCATGCTTCTTTCACTTCCTCATGCACTTTCTACGTCCCTCCCTTTTTCGTACACTTTCTTCCTCCTTCATCTTTCTCTCTCTTTCTATCTCTCTCTCACCTGTCTCTCACTCTCTCTCTCTCACTCTCTCTCTCTCACTCTCTCTTTCCCTCCCTCACTCTCACTCTCTCTCCCTCTCCCTCTCCCCCCCCCTCATTCATTCACTCCCTCCTTGCCTCATGCTCTCCCTCCCTTCCTTCCCCCTCTCTCCCCTCATGTCCACCCTCCCTTCCCTCCTCCTCTCTCCCCTCATGTCCACCCTCCCTTCCTTCCTCCTCTCTCACTCATGCTCTCCCTCCCTTCCTTCCTCCTCTCTCCCCTCATGTCCACCCTCCCTCTCTCCCCTCATGTCCACCCTCCCTCTCTCACTCATACACATCTCCCCTCATGTCCACACTCCCTCTCTCACTCATACACATCTCCCCTCATGTCCACACTCCCTCTCTCACTCCCACACTTCTTCCCTTTCTCCCGCACCACTGACAGCAACGTAACGTTGTGGTAAGTGTTTTACGGCGCTGGCAACTACATAAGGTCATGTGAGCGCACGGGGCACACCAAGCACTTTCACTTGATAGGACATTTTGATTTTTTTTCCCGGTGGTGGCCGAAGCCTACTCTTATTGATTTTAGACCACCAAGGGATCTTTAACGTGCTCAACTTGCACACGAAATTTTTCACCCTTGTCCAAGAAGGCTAGGTGTAGATCTTTCCTACCATAACATCAGGGGTGTGGCAGATAGACAGCAGTAAGAAGGAGCCTAGGAGAAGCGGCAGAAAGGCTGCAGAAAGAGTCAGGAGCCCAGAGGAGGGGGCGAAGGAGGTGAGGGGGTGGGGGCAGAAAGTAGAGACGAAAGAAGACAACAGAACATTGTTGGAGAGCAGGAAAGGAGGTGGAAGGGAAAAAAATTACGATATTAGAGAAGAAAATGTTCCGTCGCTATCTGGATTCGAAGCTTGGACCTATTGAAAGAGAGGCGAACACCTTAACCTCTAGGCCACGAGAGCCCCCCGCAGTGTAACTTTGTTGACAACCACAGGGCATGCTATCTCCCCCGGCACCCGTACCGCTCCTCCTCCTCCTCCTCCTCCTTCTCCTCCTCCTC